TGTGAACAGCTGATTAAGTACTACCTTTGTTGTATCATAGCTTAAGGCTGCATGCCACTTTTTAAAACAGTATATGACAAACACAAGGTACACCTAAAATGGTTAATTTACCATACTTTGTTCAATATGTCTGTTGTTGACGCCCTAACAGTAAATAAGTACGTATATCGAAAAAGACGTAATTTCAGAACGCATCTTCATTTGCCAACTAAAATATTGATATAGGCCTGTAGCTCTCGAGCTTGGACAGCGCCCGGTGCGTGCAAAGTTGAATGTTTAATATTTATCGGTTGCATTTCGGTTGCGCGTTATTGAGTTTTTATAGCGCAGCTGTTATGTGCTAGGATCTGGAAAAAATGCGTCCTTGGATGTTTAACAAAAACACTCGTTCAAACGGCGCTCTTTCGTTCCGGTTGGTCGTGGCAAGTATAAATAATAAGAAAGGGGCAAAAAGCCTGAGACAGCCTTCCCTTGCATTATTAGAGAGGGAGGTCCTGATCCCTTCTTATGATCTGCGGTCACCGACTTACCTCAGGTGAGAGTGAGCTGTGACGAGGCTGAGGGCAGGACGCGCCAATCTAATCTTCTTTTCTGTCGCTTCCGCAATGCTGATAGAAACACTTAAGCTCAATCGTAAAAAAAAATCCTCTAGGTATGCCTCGAAAAATTGAATTTATAACTTACAACGTCGTGTATTGGAAGTGTTCATGGTCTTTATGTATGTATATGTCTTTATTCAATCGATACAGTAATTCGCTGTAACGTCGCTGTGAAACCTAGAATAGCTACCAACCAATAGCTGTTTTCCTTTGTCTCTTCACGTAGCCATTTCCTAGCGACGATATCAGTTGCCCTTTAGACTCGCCATTGGTAGGCCGCGTGTTGTTCGTTCTGAAGAGAAAGAGCGCGTCTAGAAGGATCGTCGGAGCGCTCAACAGCGCGAATGTGTGCGAAAGCGTCGAGAAGCCGAACGCGCAACGGCCCAGCGTGGTGCGGCCAATGGTGTAGGTCCATCGGCTTCAATAGATTCACCACTCACCGACAAAGAACGTGCCGCCTAGAGCGCCAGCGGCAAGAAACCCGGGAGTGTGAACGTCGTCGCCGCTCAAAAACGACCGACGAAGATCGGGCCGCCGATGCCAAGCGGAAACTAGTAGCTTTTGTCGCAAATATAACAGCTTCGCTGGTCCTCTATCTTCACGGGAAGTGGATGGACTCTACAATGTTTTTCACGTTGCTCGTGGACGCTATGCTAGAATAATTTTATTGGTGGGTAAAAATTTGTGGAAGAAAATAACAATAACACAATATCTATAATAAAAGCATACTTATCGTTTTGATAGGGCACCAAAAGTGAAAGCTGCAATTTTACTGTATTTATTTTAACTTTTTTATTGGTTCAGAATATTTGTTATTGCGCGTAGACAAATGTCAACAAACACCACATGCACACGCTAGTAAACGACCGTGACTCGTGCACAATCTAATGCTGCAGTGTCGCTTTATGCTCGGTGCAGGCCATTACACGATCTCGTCTTCCAGATGACCTCGCGCCCCTCGGCTAAGATCGACGGGCCTATAGAAATAGAACATACACCTTCTTCTCAAATTACGGTTCATACGGTGCCGTTTTCACTTTTTACTGATGAGCAAGTAGTGAAAATGTAATGATGTAACAAGATTCACCAACTTTCCTACAGTAGAACTGCGCTTGGAGGGCCATAATCGATGTTTTAAGTTCGTTTGTGGTTTATAAAAGTCGCCTTTTGATTTATTCACACTCAAGGGCACCATATATCGGATTTATTCAAGTAATTGTGTCTGCCCGTACATGTGCCCGGGCTCCATGAACCTTCGCCTTTGTTCTTTTATTTCTGCTTTCACCCTTTCTGATTTTTTGGGTGTTTTTCTACTTATTGGACGTCACACCATTGGCATATTCTGAAAAACAAGCAATGGTCTCTGCATTTCTTTCGAATACTTTCACCTCCTTTTCGTAGATAGGGAGGTCCCTTTTTTCGCCAGCATGCCACGGTACAAATATAATACTCCCCAGCTTTTAGAGAGCACAACTCGGGATGTCTCGTAGTAACATTAATATACATAAAAAAGTGTGGAACTAATAATTTTCCGAGTCATGCTCGCGCCGACGGAAGGTCGTGTTATGGTACAGCCACACTAGCGGCAAAACGCGCCGAAATGCCGCAAGCAGCGTGCCGCCTTGCCGCAAAACCTACTCCGCGGCAGGATTTTGCTTCCGCGAAACGAATGAGCTCCGACGCTATTCTTGCCACGAGCCGCGCGCCGCGAGCAAGAGGAGACCAATCTGAGGCACCGCATTCAGTGATGTACGATTAGAGGTGTTGCGAACCAGTCGAGGGTCGAGTTCGACCAGGTTCAATTTTTTCGAACTTCTTGTGAAAAGTTTGGTATAAGTTCGACTCAGGTTCGATTGCTATGCGCATGCGCGATAGGCTGGCCAGTTGGCTGCGGATTGGATGGTGATGGCTGAGGGCTGAATTAAGGGCAGCCCTGATTGGTTATTTCAGTTCAAACAGTAAAAAAAAAATGAGTTATTAACTTCTTCAGTGATTAGATTAGTTTCTTTTAATTGCAACTGTTCATAAAATAAAATTACCCTTTGCATAAAACGAAATTCTCCAAACCTAGACATGCTTGGATAGAGGTCTAGCCACATTCTCCACAGAGTCGAACCGGTCGAATCTGGTTAAAAGTTCTAAGGTTCGTAGAACCGGTTCGACCCAGTCAAACCCCGAAAGCTCGACCTAAAATTCCGGTTCGACAAAAGTTCCCGAAACCCCTATGAACGATGCCATGGCAATACTTCTTCAGCCGAAGGAGCGTTGCTTTTGAGCCACCAGCCGCCATGAGACTCTCTCAGGAAACTTCCGTGGTGGAGAGTTTCTTGAGACTGTGCGTTTTTTTCCTTTCTTTTACGACAGGACTCATTTTGGGTACGCCAGAGCGGGCGTACAGAAATCTTGGTTTTGGAACCTTTTGCGCAGGGCGGCGTCGCAACACTAGGAGCACACGATAATATTTTTCACGATCGTGAGGTTGTCGTCTGGGTCAGCCATCAATGGAGAGGACGAGTGCATTCGCCGGAGCGAAAGGCCGAAACTTAAAACACGGAAAATCGCGGAGGCGTTTGGTATCATCAAGAAAGCGCGAGATTTCATGTGCTGTCACCTGACTGCCGCGACGGCAAACCACTGGTAGATGTCGCCCTTCACGCGGAAAGGCGGCACGTCGCGCGCGGCGTCCACCAGCGTTTTGCCGGTTGTGTGGCTGCACCTTCAAGCTGCTCTACCAAAAACGCAGCAACAAATTGGTATTGAAACGCCCAAAGTTGGCAACACTAGCTCCGGTCGATTTACTTGCACGTCCTGTACCGGTGCAGACAAGTGTAGGGCGTTGTACTTCCGTTCGTATCTCAATACACATACTAGAAGTACGCTGCCCTACACTATTCTGCGTCGGTGCAGGAGATGCAGGTAGATCGGACGAAGCTATTGTGAAGAGAAATGATTGACTCCGTAAATGTGACGTCACTGCTCCGAAGAAACCGTTGCTAACGCTCCTTTCCCGCCCGTCCCTTCCCTCACCATAGACCTTCCCAGTGTTTACAAAATCACAGTCCAGCGTGTGATCTTCACAGCCCAGCACGTGCGTGTTCGTTGCTTCAGAAAGCGAGCAAAGCACGCGCCATACGCAGAAACACTCAAAATGGCACCGGCGACACGCTCTTTTTTGGAAAGGTCTATAGCACACGTATAGCCTAATCGCGGCGTCTGTTTGATTTACGGCGAGCGCATGAGCGAAAATTCACGGCAAGCGCATGAGCGAAGATAGTACGCTTCATTCCATCTTCACTCCATTCCTGCCCACCCAACCGCATTCTCTCACCCCCCCCCCCCCCTCCGCCCCCCCCCCCCCCCCCCCCCCGGACACTCGTTCTCTGCCTTGCTATACACCTGTGCAAGTGGGATCCACCTCGCAATGCGCGCCCACTGCAGGTGAGGCGGACCTTCTCCAGCCAGGACGTTCGCTGCTTTTCGTACAATGTTGCCAAGCGTCTCTTGCGAAAGAGAAGGATATATTTTAAGGAATACAACAATAAAGAAACAGTGTGAACCTTTATTGTTTTTGGAAATATTTTTAGCCCGTGCTACATGGCTATTTTCATCTTAGTTAAAACCGAAAGGAAGATATAAACGCTTCCAAAGATTGCAAACGGGAGTGACGTCAGGAGCCGCACGGCCATTGCATCAATGGTGGCGGCACTTGAGGCAGCGCTGGCTTCCACGACTTGCTGGAATCGAGCCTGCGATTATTATAAAGTCAGATCCTACTTTTAAACATGCACCACCCTACAATATTTGATGGCACGATTGTGTGTCGATACCTGCCCCTGCGTTTTGAAACAGTAACTGCGTCCCTAACGTGCGCTAACACCCGCCATCGGCGATGCAGCAGACGCCGCCATCTTGTCCACACCCACCTCAGTGACGTGCCGCTAGCCCACCTCAACATGGCGGAAACGTTACCAGGCGCCAGCATCGCACACAATGGCAGCGCACAAGAGCCCTTCTTGCAAACGTATATAAACGTGCAAACTAGCAAACCACTACGCGCTTCTTTCTTTTTGTTTCTAAAAATTTGAAGCAGAATAGATCCCGTTTTCCGCCTTTATTTTCGTTTATACACACACAAATACCGAAAAATATAGAAGGGTTTCGAAACAGGTGAGAGTTGATCGTGGTGTTTGCAGCTGCGGGACAAGAAGTCAATTAATTTGATCAGCTAGTTGAGTACAAATACCCTGTTCACCCGCATATCAAAAACAAAAAGAAAGCCTTACACCTGCATCCTGCGCCGCTAAATTAATGCAGCTGGAATGGTGACACGACAAAAATACAGCCAACTGTAGAAAGCGTATATATGTAATGACAAAGCTTCGCCCCATTTCTACATTTAACATGGAAATTCAAACTGTAAATCTCGCTGACCTAATAATTTTCGTGTTCTTGGTTGTAGGTAACATATGCCTGGGGCTATATTTTGCAATCTTTAAGAAAAAGCGAATGGTGACTACGAATGAACTCTTCCTTGGAAGCCGGTCATTGAAAATGTTTCCGCTGGCAGTTTCAACGATGGCCACTATGGTATCTGGTCTGGGAATAATTGGCTTTACAGCGCACTACTACGCCTACGGTTTGCACGTTCTGTGGGCGTCGGTTGCCATCGTCCTTGTGTCGCCCCTGCTTGTGAACGCTATTGTTCCTGTCCTTTACGAGCTCCAGGTGACGTCGGTCTTTCAGGTAAAGTTGAGACCTATTTGTTGATTGCTATACTCAAGTGAAACTTTTACGCCAGATGAATATACGCATTCTTTTTTATTTTTAAGCACGCTAAGAATGATTTAAACAACGGGAGTATTGAGACACTGTGTAATTTTATATTGATAATGCAGGTTAATGGAAAGACAGTGCCACAGACAACCACAGTCTACCACGCGTAATGAATGGAGTAATACTTTTAGATTTGTTGTGAAAAGAACATATAAATGTTTCCAATATATGTAGAAGAACATATAAGAGGGTATAAGAATTGTGAAAGCACGACTAATACAGTTTGTGGTAGTTCTAGAATGTCTACAGGATAACTTTTTTGATCCTTTATTGTTGCAAGGTTGAAGCATCTACGCGAACGATATTGTTCAATAAAAACGCATAGGTGCGAAATAATGTGAAAAAAAAACTCAAATCCGACGACACCCATAATGGTTAATACGTTTACTCTTACTTAATACAACTAAGACATAACAAAAAGATAGGTGTTTGCCACCCCTGAGGCGAGAGCCCACCAGGCGCTACAAAATTGAGTGGCGCGCGCGTTCTCGCCGAATCGTGTCAGTTAATGCTCAAGATACCATCTGCTTTGTTTGCGAAACGTCTATTTTTTGTTGTCTTTGTTGTGATAAGTCGGAATAATCAAATAATTCAGCCGAATTTCGGAACATTTTCGCACGTAACCTATAATGTAAGAGGAAAATTTCTATCCTCGGGAGTCCCTCATGAACCTTAAGACATTTGCATTGAAAAGATATCAGGTGACTTATGGACTTTGACTCGCGTTTATTTTTTTTTTAGTTTTGTTCTTGCGGGTAAAATCTTATTAACCTGACTGTAAAAAAAATTTAGCAAACTTTATTTAATATTAGCACACCAAGTATATCAAGAAAATGTACTAAATGCGAGTAAAATTTTATCAATTGAAGTATATCGCGGCGACTGCTAATTCATATATCTGGAAGAACCTTCAAGCTGTTGTTTTTTATGACAGCTATTTGTTATATGTTTATAGCGACAATCAGAGTATGCGCCATACATTTTTGTAAAAGCATCTTTATATTCACAGATTCTCGATGTGCTCAACGCTATTCAGCAGAAAGGTTTCGCCTGCAGCAATACAGTATATTATGTTCCCTTCGCTACACGTCTTCCCATAATTATATTTCTGCCTCTTAGTACCGAAGAAGTATTTCGTAGCGAAATATAGTGGCACTAATTTGTGTTTTGTTTTCCGTAATATATTCAAATAGCTCGTTCTTAACGCTTCCCACGTTAGAGGAAGCAGAGCGGTTAATGTATAACTACGTACAACAGGAATCACAAACAATCAAGAAGTCAAGCGTGCGACTTTAGGAAACGAGATATGTAATATCACGAGAGTAGATTCTTGTGCCGTATTTACCATTTCATATTTCACCCGAGTCAGATATGGCTAGTATTTTATAAGCAAACCTAATGAACCAAATTGGGGAAAGCTATATGCTATACAAGAGATGAAATTGTTGTCATTCATTCCTAGGGCTCAGAACAGAAATTTATACATGCAGTACCAGAATTTAAGCGTATGGGTTTGGACAAAGAAAACAAAATAAAACGGGGGGGGGGGGGGGGGCAAAAAAAAAAGGAGTAAAAACATTCAATCCTTTCCGACACTTGTTTTTGACCATTCCAAAACAAGCAGAAAACAAATTTCACCAAAAGGCATAAAAAACTTTTCACATTAGAACCATACAGCAACATGATACTTTTAATGAAAATATGACAATTCTGTAGAGATAAATTTTAAATGTTGTGCAGTAATTTTTTTTGCGAAAGTATATTCTCACTGCTTATTATTTTTTCAAAGCTTGGAGTACATAAAAATTGTTTGTATCAAAGCTTTAATGATAAAACAAATATAATTAAATCATATGAACATTGATTAACTACGAAGGCTAGGGGGGATTCAAGTGAGTTGAGTAGTTGATCTGGGATCCCTACTGAAAAAAACCATTTGGCGCCTATATGAAAATAAACGGGTCCATACCGGTAACAGTTGAACAATACCGGTGACCAGTTTGTCAAAGGGGTCGCCCGTATGGCTCAAAGGGGTCTCTCGTATGAGCCGTAACGGTCACCTATTTGGACAAACAGGTCACTCCTTTGTCAAACGGGTCGCTCGTCTGGGAAAATGGCGACTCGTTTGGGCAAAATTGTCGCACGTTTGCTCAAACCGGTGACCATGTTGCAAACTGTACCGGTTTAATCAAACGGCTCTCCGGAGCCCGTTTGATACTGAACGTACAGATCGGCGGCGTGGGCACACCTAGCGTTTCAGCCGTGGCAGCCAATGTTTCCGGAAGGCTGGAAGCGCCGGTTCATCGATTTCAGATCGTCCGCGTAATGCAAGTAATTATATTTATATTTCAATTGCGCTGATGTTCGCTTATACTGCAACTAAAACTAACACCTTTTTTTGTTGTTGTTTTACGTAAACGCGCGACGTTGGTGAGCCGATATTTTTGACAGAACTTTAAAACTTTGTCCATCTTTGTTGCCTCAATTTACTTATTCAGCTCGAATCTCTCTCGCAGAAGACGCGACCGCGTGAAAGAATGTACGTCTAGACTCCGTTTCACTTTAATTCAAGACGCCGCGAAGGTAGCACGCGTACACGCGGCTGCAAGAACATCGAGCATTGCGAGAGCACGCCCGCCGTTGCAGCAGTCAAACTACGAGCTCGCGCTGAGTACTTTCTTCGCTCGGGCGCAAGCCGAGCTTCTGGCCGGCCCGCCGCCATTTCCAAGGTTCGAGCATGCTAAAATGCGCGCGCGCGTGTTTTTTTTTTTTTTTCGAGGTTACAAGAACACATCTTACTGGAATGCCTGGGGAGAGGGAGAGGGACTGTCCCTTTGCCCTGTGGTCCTCGCACCCTCCCTCCTCTCTTGTCACCCGTCACGTGACTCGCAGCCGCGCGCGAGCTACACGCTGATAAGCATCGAGATCCGGAAAGGTGCGCCTAGCAGCCGCCTTTTTTTTTTTTTTGTCTGCTTGTTGTCAGTTCCAGCTCGAACTTAGCGCGTCCACCTGCTTCGATCTGTCGCCTAACCCTGCGGTCTTATTAGGATGTCTCTCGACAACGTATTGGATGTGCACCAAAGCTATCAGTGTTCGAAAAGTCCTACGTCTATATTGGCAACAAGCGATTCTTCAAAGAAGTCAGGAATTCTTGCGGTTTGGTTGGGTTCGGCAACTGACAGCTTGTGCGCCCCATCGTGTTGAAACCTCCAAGAAGCCGTTCCCTCTCAATTGTGTTTGTGTGGTTGTCCTGCTTTGACCGTGTCGACAAATATCACGGATGACATCTTTCAAGCCCGCTATTTTTATGGTAAGTGCACTGCAACCTACTTCTTGGCAACGATTGACCGTTCTTCTACTCGTACTCTTCCAGATTATCTATATAATTATGTAGCCACTATTCTACGGGCGAATAATTTCCCGAAAGTCTACCTTCATAGTCTAGAATTACCTCGGTTCTTGTTTGGTTTGCTATCTTCTCAGTTGTATAAAAGCTTAGAGTGCCTCTCACATTTCACAGATGGCTTGCACGTTTGTACAGTCGCCGGCCATATGAGCTCCCCCGACCGAACGCCGACCGGAGCAGCGAAAATCCCGCATGGGGCGCGTCGAGCGTTGCCGCGTTCTGGGAGCCCGGCTATTGGGATCAAACCATTCCGTTATCAAAGGGTGGACGCATAGCTTTTATCGGGATTCCGCGTTTTGGAACGCGAGTCTGAAGCACGGCCGATTACAATCCCTCCTCTGGTTGCAGGTTAACGCAGACGGCTTATCGAAATTTTTCAATAGATATTATCTCTGACGTGTTATATGCTACTTTTTTATTTGCAAAACCGGTTTGTCATTTTAGATATTTCCTACCCGAAGAGTAGTCCTACGCAAAAGCCCCCCTTTCTTACAATCTTTCTTAAACGTAGACTAGACAATGACAAGCGATTTTGAAATAATTTAGTTTTTCTATAAGGATATGCTATAGATAACCATTGTTCTGCGCTCAGTAGCGTGTTGCTTCGCCAAGGGTAATACTCTACACGATGACTTTGCAAATGGCCTCCTGGTCGGTCACTTCTCGCTTGACGAGGGATCATTGTTGCAATGCCTAATATCATATCAAACATAAGGTGTTTACATTTGTAAGCATCGATTGAACACTGCTGCTTTATCTACGCCTATAAGGCAAGCTCCAGTTTATCAGCAGTTATAACATCATCTCCGGACACTTGGGGCCAACACCCGAAAACGGCAATTCTAATGGGCCATGCTTTTGTGATTCACACTTCTAAAGGCTGGAATCCCAATAAAAGCTATGCGTCCACCCCTTTGATAAAGGAATGGTTTGGTTCCAATAGCCCGGCTCCCAAAACGCGGCAACGCTCGGCGCGCCGCGTGCGGGATTTTCGCTGATCCGGTCGGCGTTCGGCCGGGGGAGCTCATATGGCCGGCGACTGTACTTGTCTACAGAAGACGTAGTAAACTTTGAGGAGAATTGCAAACAATCTTTTGTGTCTGTTTTCCTGTCCATTTGCAAGCACCAACGTGAGCACATTTGTTCTACGTGTTTTCTCCATGTTATAAATAGGTTTATGAGTTTCGGAACGTCTTAAATAAGTTTAAAATAACCAACCTACCAGACGATCCCCGTTTAGGGCTAGCGCATAATTTCCCGAATCGAATGGCACGTTCAAACGTGTGGTCACCTGCAAGGTCGAACGGGCACCTGTATCAAACGGGCGCCTGTATCAAATGGGTACCGTTTCGAGCGGGTACCGTTTCAAATGGCTACCCGTATCCCATAATCGCGTTTGATCCAAACGGGTCGACAAGTTTGCACCCGTTTGATTTACCAGCTTGCCACCCGTTTGAATTTCAAATGTTTTTTTTCAGTAGGGATCTATACCTTACAAATGGAA